TGAAACGCGGTTTTGGATTATGCCATTACACATCACCCTGAAAACCCACCAATTATTTCCCAACCACTTCCCAGACGCCATCATCTAACAAAGTCCTTGAAATTGCTGGTTTTGAGTAGGGATGACAATGGATAACCTACCCTGTGGGTATCCATGGAGACCCAATCCAAATACATGGGTTTTCCCCTCTTTTTCTTATCCATTGGGTAGGGTAGGTGATATTCTTTAAATATCCACAGGGGATGGGTTGGGGATGGGTACCCACTAATTTCCCCATATGTTGGGGATGGGGAATTAACATCCACTCCATTACCCCATTGCCATTCCTAGTTTTGAGGATAAAAAAATTGGAAAAAAATAACATCATTTTCACACTAGTGAAATTTGGTGTAAATCTTTTGCTGTGTCAAATTTGTACAAAATTAGATTTACAATTATTATTAAACTATCTCACTTATTTATATATTTTTTTTCCTAAAAAAATTGCGAGATTTGAAAACTTGAACACATCATAACTTAACACAATAAGAATAACAGTGTGCAAAAAATGATTTTTAATCTTGTTACAACTGAAGAGTGCACGGCAAAAAGAATGCTATAAAAATAATCATTTTTTTATTAAATTTTTTAGTGATTTTAATTTATTTATTTTTTGTAAAATCATAAAAAGTTGATGCGTTCAAAAATTTAAATGTCTTTTTTGTTGAATGTTTTTTTACTTTTTCAACAGATGAAAAACAAACAAATTTGGCATTTTCAAACTAAAAAATTAACTATTTTAGAACATATCAAACAACTCACGAGTTAAGATGAGTCGCTTTACAAGATAACCCCAACATAGCATTAGTAATGGCGAAGGGTCTGAGTGGGGCAGGGGCAAGTTTGGGCGGAAAAAACTGGGGAGGAGCGGGGAGATATTGAAATAGTTCACAACCCTTAGAAGGAGGATGGTTACTAAGCAAATCTCATCCTTCGTTTCTCTTGTCAAAATGGGAAAACTCGTGCAGAAGGAGAAAATTTGTCATCCCTACAATACCAAAACCCCTCTCGTCATAACCCTATGTTTGCCGTAGCAGATGTTGATGTCCCTGAAGAGAGAATGTGTCATGTATATTAAATGAGGTAAATGTTTCGTTCAAGAATGAAACAAACAGGTAGTGCTAATTCATACCACGAAACAGGATGAATAAATCAGTCCAAATTAGTTTTTAAATGAAGCGGCCATGTGACAAATTCTAAACTGGAAGGGGGGTAGGGAGAAGAGGATTCAAAAGGCTTTTAAAAAAAATATTGGAGCTGCACAAGTACAAAGTGTACTTGCATTAAGGTTATCGCAGAATCAAATACTAATGGATTTGCTTTCCTTCCAAACAGAATATTCCAAAGGAGTAAATGACAACCCTTGCTAATTTGACCCAGCTTCTCCATGGAGATCTTTTTTGGGGTGATTTGTCCATGGAGATCTGAAACAAAAGAAAAGAATTTACAAAATTAGATGTCGCATTGACACAGGCATGTACTACCAAGCCAAGACAAAAAAGAAAAACCAAAAAATAAAACAAACCTATTCGGAGGAAGAGAAAACGGCTCTGGAAAAAAAAAAAAAAAAATACTACCTTGCAGTGTGAGAGAGCATTGCACAGCATTAGATAGCAGAGAACTATGTTTAACACTCTCACTAAGCCCCAAACCTAACCAGCAGAATTATCAGCATTTTTTTTTCCATTTTTTTTTTGGGACACAACGGAAAGTGAATTATCAGCATATTCATAGAATGTTTTTGCGTCCCTTGAGGCCATTCTCGTTCCACTATTTGTAGAAATTGTAAAGCAGTGACCACAAAATATGTTGCATTATATATATACACATATATTATATGTATGAAAACTTAACTGATGGAACCTCTCAATCAAGGGATAAAAATTCCTAGAGAGTATATATTCACATTTAAGATTTTAAGCAATCAATCAATTTCAACTATCTGTATATATTCACATTTAAGATTTTAAGCAATCAATCAATTTCAACTAACTGCTAGCATCAGTGATGAGAGCTCAAAGAATAAGCTCACCATATTATTGAATCCACTGAGCAAGCGCATCCGCAAACCTGAATTTGGCAAGAATTTGTCTACACAGCAATATTGTTAGATGAGGCATCAGCAGCACAAACAACATACTGAGCAAGGTATGCTGGACTAGACAACAATGTCATGTCATTGATTCAAAAGGTCAAATTCTTGGGCTATAGCTTGATTACAAAAAAATTTCAAAAGAATGGGTCACAATGAGATTTCAAAGAACCTCATGTCTGCATCGATCTAGAAATCAACTCAACTCAACAAACAAAGCCTCGCCCCAACTACTTGGGGTGGGTTACAAGAATCCTATTTTGTCAACCTGCTCAATTAAGGATCCCATGAGTTCCAACTACAAATCAATCTATGCTAAATATCCTTTACAAATAAACAAGTGGAGCAGTTTCTCTCTGCGTAAAGGAGTAGAAAGAATAAATTCAGCAGATAGTTAAATGCACTGAGCAGGTTTGATGGCAAACCTGAATTTCACAAGCATTAGAGTTTTCCAATTACACTAAAAAAGATATACATACAATTTGAGAAAAAGAGAGAGATTAAACCCATAATCAATTTAGGGGAAGGAAAAAACAAAAACCTAGAGCCTAGAGGGAAAGACAGGATGATGACCACTATGAACTCCAGGAAATAAGTGTCTACTTCAATCTAGTATATCAAACTTAAGAGCACAGAAGCAAGGAATGCCTCTAATGACCTTTCCAGAGCATTCAATCCCCCAAAATTGTTGACTAAGTACTACCTTCATATTGGAGGATAAGCCTGCTGCTACATATTATATTGCGATAATATAAGCTAACTAGTCAAGTTATTGGAAGGAATATTCCCTTGTAGAAGTGCAGTCACTTCCTCAATAATTATCAGCTAATCTGTGACTAGAAACATAACAGCTACAAAATTAGTAAAGGTTGATTTACTTATTGAAGTGCAGGTATAGTGGCTAGTGATGTGGTCAATCAAAGCTTTTTGGGAAGATGGTGGACACTTCAATGGTTGGGGATCGCCGGAGGTGGAGGAGAAGAGAATCAAGGCAACCTTAGCAAGAGAGAGAGAGAATGGAAGTAAAGAGAGAAACATATCAATGGATTAGGATGAGCTGAGGGATGAGGATGATGGTGGTGGTGATGAACCTCAAAGTAGCATATAAGTCCCCTTACAGAGGATGATAGACTGTCGAAAGCCAGCTCACCCATGAACATTAGGTGACTCTCCTTGGTTTGATAAAATAGAGGTTACAAGAATCCTATTTTGTCAACCTGCTCAATAAAGGGCCATTAGTTCAACTTCCTCTCTGCACAAATGAGTCGAAAAAATAAATTCACCAGACAGTTAAATGCACCGAACAGGTTTGATGGCAGACCTGAATTTCACAAGCATTAGTTTTCTAATTACACTAAATAAAATATACATACAATTTGAGAAAAGGAGAGAAATTGAACCCGTAAACAATTTAGGGGAAAGGGAAAAAAAACAGCCATAGAGGGCGAGAGATAGTATTACTATGAAATCCAGAAAAGAAGTGTCTACTTTAATCTAGAATATCAAACTTAAGAGCACAGTATGATATCTTAGGGACTATGAAGCATGGGTATGGGTACATGTATGATACGGATATGCCGATATGGCTAATTCTTAAAAAAATAAGGTACGACTATGGCTGGGGTACGCCAATTTTTTTTTTAAAAAAAAAAAAAAATTATAGCTAAACATCCAACATACAAATCAAAGTTCCAATATCAAAACTAAAAAAAGAACTTGTCTAAAAAGTTAAATAATTCTTTCATTTTCATTTTTGATTGTTTAAAACAGGATGCAAAAGAGAGCAAAACAATGATTCATGGGTAAAGGGTGTTGAAAATAAATTACTAGATATTTCAAAATTGAAAAAAAAATACCTCACCGTACTAGTGCCATACCTAAATGTATTTGCCGTACCCGGCATATATTTGGCTACCTGGTACGCGTACCCACACCCAATAAGTATCGGGTACTCGTACGGCACTATTTTTGAAGTACCCATGCTTCATAGTTAAGGGCTATATCATAGCATCGTATTGGCGATAGGTATCTCTCCTTCCAGACTGGTTAAGATAAGGCTGCTTCCTAGGAGAGAGCAACTTTGGGAACCTCGACGAACCCCTAAATCTAGCCTCCAAGCCATAATCCGCCAATGATCCCGAGCAATAGATACCTGTTCGCAGCCTTGGAAAAGAAAAAGAAAAAGTGATAGTGAAGGTAGTAATAACAGTAAGTTATGTAGGAGTCCCTACTACAAGAGAGAAGGCATAGGGGAGTCCAGCGAAGAGTGCTACTGGCCGAGCCAGGAAGGGAGGCATCAGGCCGTACTAATCAGCAAGGATGGTTGAGCAGAGGTACCTCGGCTTAACCAAATGCTAGGACTCAAGAGGATCATGACCTGGCAAAGGGCCACTTTGTTGAGCCATGTCCCTATTGAGCAAGGGTGACCGAGTGATGCTCTAGGCCACACCTTGGGATTCCACATGTTTTGACCAGTCCACCTGGTGCCTCGGCTTGACCAAGTGCTAGGGATCAGAGGATCATGACCTGGCAAAGGGCCACTTGGTTGAGTCAATGGGAGTGTCGAGCCACCACATCACTACCGAGCAAGGGTGGCTGAGCGATGCTCTAGGCCAAGCCTTGGGATTCCACATATTTTGAGTTGTCCACCTAGTGCATTGGCTATGCCTCCACTTAGGCTAGGCGCACATGACCCCAATAATCTAATTAGCAGATTTGGCACCTCTAAGGGCTAGCCACGTGGAGACAGCATCTCCTAGGTAGGGGTGACATGGTGCCTGCCACGTGTGAGGATGATCTAGGTACAAACACAAAGCAAAAGAAAATAAAAATAAAAAATGGAGAAAATATGCATGGAAAACTGTAGTTATACCATCAACCTTACCTAATAAGAGGAAAAAAAATCTGTATTTTCTCACAAGAATTTCTAATACAATTTCTGACTGGATGCATGGTATTGTACAACCTATAAATACAAATGTAATGAATAGAGTAATTCCAAATCTCTCTTTCTTCCTCCTTTTCCTTTTTCTCACTCAAACAAACATGTTACACTGCTGGGCTACACCTCCAGGTCAACCGTTCAAGTCTGAAATATGGTAAACGTGGAAAACCTTACCAGGCAGAAAAGTCTTTAAATTCCCCCATTGCTAAACCTAATTTCCTTTTCTTTGCTATAGCAATTGCCTGCGTACCAGTGTCAGCAGCAGCAGCAGATTCAGCCTGTGCATTTCTCGCCTTCAAGTACTTGCCAATGCCACCACCTACAGATCCAGATTCACTTGCTCCTGTTCCTGGATTGGTGTACCATGACCCAATCTTGTCCTGAAATGTAACAAATGAGAAAACATGATTATTTTCAGGGAAGGGGGGAAAAAAGGAAGCATAAAGTTTCTATTAATCTGAAATCAAAGGGACTGAAACTAACATTCTCTTCATCATCAGCATTCTTATCTTTTGCTTTCTCCTGCTCATCTTCTTCATCAGGCTCTGTGTATGGATTCACGAATACTGTTACACTAGTTATCTTAATATCTTCCTGTAAAGAAACAATAGTAGAGAAGACCGTCATGTGTCTACCTTCAAAAGATGACAAAGTTTAACGTGCATACAAGATCGCAACTGGAACTATCTACCAGAGAATTATGGGCACATCTTTTAGGGGACAGCAGGCATACATATTGGCACTTTTTTGTACTTCGTTGGTGATTGAGCAAAGGTTGGCAAGCAGATAGGCATACTAAGGAGATTCTGGTTGGTCAAAAACAAGCTGAATTCTATACTGTTATACAACACATCTTAATCTTCAATTGTGATTTCACTAAGTTTTGTTAAGGCAAGTTTTGGATAGTGTGGTTTGATAGAAAAATGGATACAGAGCAAAAGATTATTCAGTAGGCACACATCTTATAAAGCTTAAAACGTGACACAAATGGTGAAAAAGAACCATTTGGAGCATTGTTATATTATGTTTGGATTAAGTAAAAATTCAAAACATTGGACATCTGAAAATAGATACTGGGATGGATGAAAGGTCTTTGAATAGCTGGGATATTGTGGGCCTGTTTGCTGGCTTTTGTGGGGTTGAATATACAGATGTACATTTGACTTAAAATCTTCTGCTCTTTTGAGGGGAATGTTCCCACAATAACTGCTACTATCAACAAAGATAATTGTTGCTGTTACTTTACAAAATGATGAGCCCAAAACATCTTCACGCACAAAATTACAAAAACACATACTCATGATAAGCAAAAACTTGACCTGAACTCCTGCAATATCATTGCTTTCATCATTTCTCTAGAGCATGGTGGAATAACCAAAGGCCAACAAAGAAGAATATCAAAACTTACTGCCCATGTAGCTCAATATTTCCACCATGTCAAACATCGTACACAAAACCATTATATTCCTCAAACACAACCGAGACAGGTTAAACATGTAGGTCTCCAATTGAATATTTCCTTCTTTTTTCCCAAAAAGGAAGAGGTAAACACATTTCTGCCTAGAGTTTGCCCAGTTCATTAATCTAATAATCAATTACTCAATCATATATAATCATCCATGTGAATATTGCAATAATAAAGTAAGTAATATGAACACAATAATACCAAAAAAAAAAACAAACATTGGAACAATAATTCCCTTTGGTTAAGGACCACAAGCCACCCTGCCTGTCAATAGATCGAGAGTTTAATACAAAAACTTTAGTAAATGACTCACAGCCTATTTACATGAACTAGGGTGCCGGTATGTATCTAAATGTTTGAATCATCTAATTCTCATGTCCAAAGACAAGTGGACACACAAAATATATTTTCTAATATACGTTTTCATTTCCTATGGTAAACTGGTGTTCACAAGATTTACATATAATATGAGATTTTATGCATAATTTTACGGTTAACTTGAATTACTAAAATATGTTCAACTAAAAATATTGGGCACAAATCTAATACCCTCTCCCAAGTGTCGAGTGTATAACATGGATACTGCATACATTTAGAAGAGTCCACATAAGCTAACTCTTTATGTGTTAGCCTTGACGTAAACTCGAGTCCATTTGCAAGTGGCTTAGACTCTATTATCGGACTCCTCTTAACAAGATATATTCTCCTTATAACTCCAATCACAATTGGTCAATTGACAGGAAAACCAATGCACAGTGAGTGCTCAAAGCGCAATGCGATATATTTGGTTTTTCAAATCAGAGAAGAGTTTTCTCAAATCTATTCCTTTACATCATGCGAAACCAGTTTTCAATTAATCAATATTGACAAGGTCTCCTAGGTATTTGAGTGCAATAAAGAGGTCACCAAGCCAAATATCTGTTCTTAATTTATTTCAAATTTGGCATGTCACACTAAATTGTCTCAAGCCCATACAAGGAACCAAATTCTGCTATTTTAAAGTAAGATTTTCCAACAACCATGAAAAATCCATTCATTTGGTGGGGCAGCAACATAACAGGTATTTTCGATTCAAGCATAATGATTCTAAAAGAAAAAACTGCACATTATGACTCACCAGAGGCCGGTCATTGTCATCGACAGGAACCTTTTCCATTGCTGAAAGGGTAGTCATACCACCAACAACTCCACCAAAAACTGTATGCTTGAAGTTTAAATGAACTGCAGACTTGTATAGAATGAAAAACTGTGAACCATTTGTGTGGGGTCCACTGTTTGCCATGCTAACAACACCCCTTCCAGAATGAAGCAACCTCGAGTCTACTTCGTCTTTGAAAGGTTTTCCCCATATGGATTCGCCTCCTTTCCCAGTGCTGGTAGGATCACCACCTTGAATCATAAAATTCCTATATAAAAGTGAATAACAGTAATCCATCAACCTCAAAATATAACGATGCAAGAAACAGTACCTGAGTAAATTGAAAGACAAAAAGCTATTTAACACAATACCTAATGTTTCTATGAAAAGCTACTCCATTGTAATAGCCACGCTCACAAAGTGTGATGAAGTTCTCACATGCCCTGGGAGTTACATCACAGTGCAGCTCAATGTTTAAATCACCATGTGTGGTATGCAACTGAATGTATCCTTTCTTCTTGGGATTTTTCTCAGCCATAACATATTCAAAATCATTTTTTGTGGTAGGATCATAAGAAGTTGAAGTGAAGGATCGTGAAGCAGCACCAGTGGTGAAACGGCTCTTTACCTGGAAGAGTCCCAACAAGAATCGTAAGTGATGTTAAAACCTACCAAGCATATATACTTCACGTTGTAATACTGTTACTTACGGTCCCATGATGGTACCCGACAAGAGATTGAGTAACACAAATCTTTTCCCATAATTAAACAAATAAATAGCATACTAACACTTTTACAAAAAAATATATTCAGATCATGAAAGCCTCCAAGCCTAGGTGACCATAGAGTACAGATGCCCTTCAAAGACAACCCAAAAACACCAGTTTCATATTCCGTAATAAAATAGGTGATGACACACAGGCTCTTGCTCTTCACTATACATCCAATCAATCCATATCCCACCATCTTATAGTATCTCTCTTCCTCCTCAATTAGGGGTATACCACAGACTAGGTTTATGATTGTATACATTCTTCAACTACTTGCTTGCACCATGAGGACAGACCAAAAATAAAATGAAGGACTTCTTGGCCAAATGAATGACAACCAATGTTTAAACTGAATCTGCACTGAAGGCAATAAAAATGAACTGCACCCACAAGTCGTGAAACAATTCAAGTTCAATGCCTTTGGGAAAAAAAGAAAAGAAAAGATGATTTATTATATGGTAGTGTCTTTTAAGTTAACAACTAGTGATAGAATTTTAAGTCGAATAAGCAAAGCAGGAAGTCATCATGTATGAGCAGTGATAACTAGCATAATACCCATGTGTCATAACATGATTTGTGTTGTGACCCCCAAAATAGGGACAACGCTTTGTTGACTTGAATTTAATCCATACTTTATTATGCAATATTACTTAGCTTACTATTTTATCTTTGGTAAGGATAGCCCTGCATTTCAAAACTTCAACAACATTAGTCTCTCTACATGAATTCTTGAGACGTAACAAAGATTTTCATTTTTGCCCCACATAAGTGCCACACAACTAGGATGTCAAATAACCAAAGGTGTAGCAAGCCTTTTTTACTTCCAATCATATTCTCATGCTCCACTCTTAGAATCTCCAATTTAATTGTTAAGAGACTCAAAACCAAACTATATGATCAATAACAAAGATTTGGATAAAATCTTGACAAAGAGCAGAGCGATGAATGTATCCAAAACATGCATTGCAGTGACAGATATTAAATGAACTGCATTTATCAAGCAATCACTAGTATAGAAATCTTTATAAAGCACATGAGAGATTTGTAGTTCAGGAAAAACTGACCATTTTTGCATTCACTGGGGTCCTCTCACCAGCAATGTGCATAGCTATCCGAGCAGCAGTTTTGTCACTTGATGCAGCCTTTGCAGCTGCAGCACTCCTTCCATGTACTGAAGCGGAAGCAGCATCTACAATACTGTAAGTCTGTTTGGGTGTAGCCTCTCCATTGGTATCTGATTTAGAATCTTCTTTGATACGTGACCTCGCAGCTAATATAGCAGTAAGAGCAGCAGCTCTTTCATTTTGAGCCTTGTTTCCACCTCCCCCATGCAATGCAATTTCTTTTCCTTTCTCTGTTCCAAGCTCCTTCAGCATCTGTTTGATATCCCCAGAAACATTTATGTTATAGGTTGGATCGGAGCTCATTTTCATTAGTTCTAGCACAGAAAAACCAAAAAAAATAAGATCTTGAGGGGGAAAAAAAGAAAAGAAAATAGTTTTACAACCTATAAAAGATAAAGACTATAGCTCACCCTCATCATCAAGTTTCAAACTATTTTTTACATGATCAAAATCCACGAGAACCCTGCTGTCAAGTGCATTAGGATTCTGCAGAGCACACCCAAAATTCAAGGACAACGTCATCACATCTTGTAGTGAAAAGTTAAGTACAAATATTCAACACAACCAAGTAAGTTACATGGACTCAAAAACAGGTGTCGAGTGTCGTATAGTGTCGAATTAATCTAATTCAAATATCCAAAGACAACAGCGCATGGCTAAATTTCATATTTCTTAAATAATAATTTTAAAGACAAAATAATGTTTACAAATTAAAATAGAGCAATTCATGTAAAATTGAAATCGTATGTGAAGTGGATGTCCAACATGTACAACTAAGTATATCAAACACATCTCATACCCTTCCCAAGTGTCATGTGTCCGTCATGAGTACTTCACAAAATTAGAAGAGTATTGTAAACATACAACCAACTAGGATACCACATGCCAAAGCCACTAATTACCTGAATTGTTATAAGATCTCCCCTAGTGAATGTTTCATCAGTGAGAAGCTCCTTCCAATTCTTGGTTTTGATGTTTAATTCTTTAATTGCCTATGAAGCAAAGACAAATGGAAGAGCTGTAGATCACTTCACACATAAAGAACATACAACGAAAGACTACTAATATTGATGATCAATAAATAAACAAACCTCATAGCAGAAAACATTTCCTGTAGTCTTTACAGCAACAATGTGTGTAAATTCAGTAAAAACTTTGTTCAGTACAGGGCAATGATACTCACCTGCAGAAAAATAAAGAAAAATGACTTGCAATTAATTATGCCAACCTAACAATCCAGATGTCCATTTGCCCTAAAACAAAAGACCATAAAAATCTTAAGGTCCAAATTGCCATCATAACTAATTTATTACAGTGAGATTACTGTTCATATGCAGATCTTAGCATATCTATTACACTTTTCAGATCAATTAAAATAATCTTCTCCGGACAGCACTCTTTTATCCTTCATGACATAAATGTTACTAACAAACATCACACTAACTTCAATATTTGTTTTTCTCCCTCCCCCACCAATCTTTGTACCACTATTCTTTTCCCCTTGACAAACTATCCTCTTTCTTCAGGAGGTCCCCTCCTCTTTCAGTGTACTTTCTCCTGGAACACATCCTATTTTTCGAATAGAAAATGATAACATAATGCCACCAGGAGACCATGTCTTATTTGGTTCCAAAGCCAAACAACTGAAAAACTGACGTGGTCCTTGGAGATCTCAGCTGGACAAAGAAACTACCAAGATGAAACTTTAACTGCAACATATTACTCACAGATTATCAAGCTCCGAATTCCTATGATTCAGTACTCATGCTCTAGTCCTACAATTGCCCCACTAGTCAAGAATATGTAACAAAGTCTGCTAGAAAAATACAGCTTTAATGAAAGGAATTATTGAAAACTACTGCATTATTCAGCATATTAGAATGACTTAATCATAAGAAACACTATATTAAAACCCGATACACAAACAAGTTATGAGCTAGTCCACACTCTTCTAGACAAGCTCCAAGCACCTGAGATTTGGTCAAATAAAATCACTTTCAAATATAACATATGACTGGCAAACATTGACAGCTTATCAACATCAGAGATCAGTAATAAGCATGTTAATTTCACTATCTTTTCTCCATACCACACTCGTGAATTATGAACATTACCTGCAAATTCCAATGTCAACAAATGTTTGCACCTTGTTGAAGAAGCTACTCAACACACACCAATTCTATGTGCAACAATTTTTCCAAAAGCACTACGCTAACAAATTCCCTTTGTTGGCTAGGAAAAGAACACAAAAACAAAACAAAAAATCCATAGCATGCTTGCATCTCAAACCATTTCAGTATACTTTTCATACAATCAGCCAACTGCATAGTACTCCACAACAGATTCATTAATATACATTGAAACTACAAACAAATCATTTAAAGAGGAAGAAAATTACAGGAACTTTCAGTTTTTGCCATGTTCTGCTGCAATTTCACCCTTTTCAGTAACAACATAACCACCCATTCCTTGTAAATTCAATTATATAAAACATATGAGAGCAATTAAGCTTTTCAATTGACAACTAAAAAGAATAAATCTTGATAAGTCATTAGAACGAAAACTAACCTTCGGAATTTTTGTGAAAAACAAGGGGGATTAGATTCTGTGGCTTCAGAGGAGCACCGGTAACGGGATGTTTACCATACTTAGTGATGTAAGGGATTATGTTCCTACATTCAAATTCCAATTACGAGAATTTCAATAGAGAACGAAACAATTTGCTTAGAATAAAGATAAATCAAAAAAGCAATACTTAGAATTGATCAACAACTGAATTGCAGGGAGACCAACATTAGGTCAAAGACGCTGCCATCGTCGGTGCACACAGGGTTCTCGAACGGTGTAAAAGTGAGTCTGCATTCAAATTCACACAGATAAAGATGGTTCAAAATCAGAAACACATTCAAACTCATGCATAAGAAGAAGAAGAAGAAGAAGAAGAAGAAGACGAAGAAGTTACGCGCAGCAATAGAATGGGAGGCGTTTGAAAGGGGTGCGGATTTCTTTGGATTTGGCGCCGCCCCACTCGGTGGCCCACTCCGTCTTTGTGATGAACATTCGATCTTTGCTGTGTTGTTTCTTCCCCATGTTGTTCTTCTACAGATTTTAAATACAAATCAAATTAGGGTTCCGGCGAGTCCAGAGAAGCTATATCACTCTCTGTTTCGCTGTTGCTCTGCTCAGGTTCGTCGATGTCGATGAGTGCTTCAGATTGACGGCTTCTTGCTGTGTTTCGTGGACTTTCGTACCCTGAACACCGGTACCCGAACCGCCTCCCAAAATATAAAACCCATCGGATTTGGGCCGATTTTTGTAACACCGAACGAACAGCTGGTCCTAAACTAAGTCGGTCACTCGGCCCTAAACTAAGGCGGTGACTTGGGCTGATATAAATAAGTTGTTGCTACGGATTCTAGGGCTGATAATTAAAAAATATAAAAAAGTTTGTAAATGGGGCCTGCTCCAAACCAAAATATATGTTCTATTTTTTTAAATGTACTTTTTGGTTTGGTTTGGTTTGGTTCTTAAAATTGGTCAACAGTATTTTACAATTAAATTCACAATTTTGTGATAATGGTTTTAATTTGAATTTAAAATTACATATAAACAAATTATTATTTACATTAAATTTTAAAGTAATCCCTTGATGTTAAATTTAACGGATAAATACGAATAGATCTTGTGAACTTAACTTATTTATCAAAATATCTTACTTTAACTTTCAATTGTAAACTTTTTATATAAAAAATAAAAAAATAAAAAAAACAATTCTACTACTTACACCCCTCACATCATATTTTAATACAAACTAATTCAAAAAAATTAAAAATAAATCAAAACTTATAAACAAAACCCAAGGCCAAGATTTCCCAATTATTTATCATTTTAATAAATTTAAAAGTATGATTACTAATAATCGTTTTCCAAACACAAAATGCATCCAAAAGGCCTATTTTGGAAATAAGGTTAAAAGCTAGCTTATTAATTTTTTTATTTTTTTCGGTCACATCACTTCTTTATTTTTTTACACATTTTTTTTAAAAAAAAAAAAGCTAAAAAAAAAAAACTAGCTTTTAACCTAAGTTTCAAAATTTCATATTATCAAAACAAGGGACAAATAAATTAATTAATCGTGCCTTGTGAATAAATAAGCTCGCTCCACAGGACCTATTGGTAATTATTCCCAATTTTTTAATGCAAATAATCTCAAAATTTCTATTATGTTCTATGTCTAGGTTTTACATACATAATTTTTAGTTTGCATACATTACACTCACCTCCTATGAGTTAAAAAAAATTCCTAGAGAGTATATTCTCTTTCCTCTCTATTTTTTGTAATTTTTTTTTTTGTAAAAAATCAAAAATTCATTCTAAGCATACTAATTTTTTTTAATCTCATATTTTAGTAAATAAGCTCGCTCCATAGGACCTATTGGTAATTATTCCCAATTTTTTAATGTAAATAATCTCAAAATTTCTATTATGTTCTATGTCTAGGTTTTACTTACATAATTTTTAGTTTGCATACATTACACTCACCTCCTATGAGTTAAAAAAAATTCCTAGAGAGTATATTCTCTTTCCTCTCTATTTTTTGTAATTTTTTTTTTTGTAAAAAATCAAAAATTCATTCTAAGCATACTAATTTTTTTTAATCTCATATTTTAGTTAAAAAATTAAAAAAAAATTAGTAGTACATTCCCAAACGAAGCCTAACTATTAGCATCAATTATAAGAGCTCAAAGGATAAGCTTACTAGATTATTGCCCTGTTTGGTAAGGCTTATTTCTATCTTATTTCAGCTTTTAGCTTAATTTAAGCTATTTTAATATGTTTGGTTCAGCTTAACAATACAACTTCTAGCTTTTTGTAAGTCAAAAATCAACTTATTCTTTGAGTGGAGGAGGTGAAACTTAATTTATAAGTCAAAAATCAGCTTATGTTATAAGCTATAAGCTGTTAGGCTATAAGTTATAATTATTTTCCCACAGCTCTACCAAACGGAGCCATTGAATCCCCTGAGCAAGCGCATTGGCAAAGCCTTCATTTGGTAATAGTTTTTTTAGCCTGTTTTTTTGACTCTTTAGTTATTTTAACTTGAGTAAAAAAAATCATCTAGGATGAACTTTTGACTTTTTTTATAATTTTGTAAAAAAATAAAATAAAATAATTATGATTTAGATTTTTAGCCTATTTTGTCTTTTAATAGGTTAATTTAATCCCAACCCTCTAGCCAAACATAACTATTTATTTTGAATCCTAAGGAAAAATTAACAAAATAATCAAATATAAGCTATTATTCCAAATCATATAACACCAATTAATATACTCCTACAAAATAATCAAATTAAGAAAAAGATATTCAATAAAATTAATGATAACCATGACTAACGGGGAGTTGAGTTACAGGCCCGGCCCTGAGATTTTTGAGGCTCAAAACTGATAATCAACTAATAAATATCACTAGATTATTTGGGGCCCCCTTCACATTTATATTTTTTCATTCAATGAAATTTTTTTAATTGGTTTATTAACTTCTTTTGGGAAACAATTTACCATCAACTGTAGATGATCGAACACTTCAATTGGTTTATTGACTTCTTTTGGCAATCTTTCTTTTAAGACTTTTAGCTCCATCAATATTGGAAATCTCACCATGTTTTAAAATTTTTTCAAGGTTCACACACTCCGCTTTCAACAATTCATCGCTGCACTTTTCAAGTCAAAGAAAAAGCCAAAGTTTGTCTCATATACTTTGAATCGTTCGAACCTATTTTTGAGTGAACAAAGGGCTTGATCAATAAAATAGAAGAAGTAACCAACTCTTAGTTTGGGCCTTTTAATTTTGAATAGACCTTTTAATTTTTTAATAGATTAATTTATTTTAAGTTAGTTTGGGTCTTCTTTAATTTTTTTTAGACTTAAAACATACCTAATATATTACACTAAACTATAATAGGAGGGGGGCCTTTTTTGGGTCTATTTTGAGGAGCCCAAAGCCATGGCCTGGTGGGCTTTTGTGATTAAGGCCGAAATGTACATCATTGAGGCCGTTAATTAGAATCTCTTAACTTCACTTGCTGGTCAAACTGTATACTTTATGTGTGTTGAATGTCAATCAGGTTGTACATCGTCGGAGCATAAAATGGGCAAAAAGACAGAATTTGGACAGAGTTGACTTTTCCGCACTTGCGTTGACTTTCCTGCACGTGCGTTGACCTTTTCGCACGTGCGTTGACTTTTCCGCACGTGCGTTGACTTTTTTTGGAAAAGTCAAACTGATGTTTTAAACCTGTTTGGAAGTGAGTAGAAGTATACAAAGGCAAGGAAAAGGCTTTGGTAGGGTTCGGAACTTGTTTTGACCTAAAGGGAGAGGCTAGGGTTTGGAAGGAAAGAGAAACACAAAGCTTCAAGAATGTCTCCCATGGTGGTTTCTTCTCCATCTACCTCCTTCCACCCCTCCATGAGTGGCTAGTCTCATTTTCTAGGGTTTTGATGAAACCCTAACCACGTAATTATTTAGTTTTCTTTTTTATTTTTAATTATGTAAAGGTTTGAACATTTGTATGGTGATTTAGAAGTTTCTTATATATTTTTTTCATTATCTCTTCAAATATTTGACTTTTTGTGATTGTTGAATGTTATCCATACATGAGTTTTCTATTCCTTCACATTCAAGGTATGAGACGAACCATGCTACGAGGAACGAGTCGTGTCACTACCTTAGTTTAGAGTGAACGATTCGTATTACTTGAAATGGTTCGTGCTCGTACATTGAATGTGACGATCTTCTTGTTAAATGCTTTGAGCTTGTAGTTGCGAAGCATTAATCCGTTCAAACCATAGTATAATTGATTTCAATTAGAAACCCTAATTACGTGGCTAGTGGTGGACTCTTTGCCCTAGTTTTTCCCCCAATTCAGTAAACCCAATTTCATTTATTATTGATAATTTAATTCCTTAGTTTAATTTATTTGTTATTAATTTAGGCTATGAACAATCAATCTTTTTATCAAAATTAATTTAGGAATTTAACAATTACATTAGTTTAATTTCACAATTGTCCCTGTGGATCGATACCTGGACTTGTCATTATTCTGAAAGAATTTGGTATAGTTTAGTATTTAATTTTGGTGTGTTCAACGACCCATCATTATGCCAGGGCCGACCCTGTTGAGTTAGAAGACAAACACTTTCATACTTTATAATGGTGGAGAAACTAACTCTCATAGGTGTCAATCTAACTACTAACAACTGATTTTCGCTGATTGGAAAAAAAAAAAAAAATGGTGATGCTGCTCATCACCAACTAATTAATGGTTATGGTGCTAGAAAGAAATTGCATACCCAAGTAGAAGATTATTTTATATTTACATACAAGATCGATTTATAAGCAAGCTAACAAATTTTTACTTGTCGATCAATCACCATACAAATTTTAAAATCTAAATAACAAAAGCCAGAATTATTATTTACAATTTCATAAAACTTAAACTATACCAATTTTAAATTAAACCAAACTATTAAAATCTTATTATCAAACTAGATTGAACTAATAAAACATGATTCTATTCAATTTAGAATATCATCTTGTAAGATTAAAGTTGAGAACAAAATGTTAGCAAAGTTATTTTGCTCTATGTACTTGTGGTCTCTGAACTGTTCAGGTATTTAATAAAAATGTTTTTCGAATCTATAAACACTATCTATTTTTTTTTTCTTTTTAATTTAACAAAAATCATAAGCAAACTATTATTCACTGAAGTTGAAATAGTTAAGATTATTGCTTACTCGCTGAACGTAAAGGGTGCGCACAGGTCAATTTGAGCTAGTCTTGGAGCAAATTCATCAACTAAACCACTTTTGATAGACTAAGAATTTTTCAGTTTATCGTAATTAAGTTTATTGTTAATGAAAGTACAAGTGTGCTCAAGTCGTTTTAGTTTGGTACCTTTGACAGATTAGGGGAATTTTTTTTTTAATGCTGTGGGAGCCGAATAATTAGCAGAATCAGAAGCGTATGCTTTAGAAGATAGACATTACTCGGCCCTAACTTGCACGATTATGAGGCCGAATACAATAAATAG